ACAATACAATTTTCTCACAATTTTTCTTTTTAACAAAATGAGATTTAAGACAAATTATAAATAAAAAGCTGTCCTTTTATTATTTCTCCAACAAAATGCTGCACATTTCTTTGTGAAATTTAAATATGTCAAATAATAAAACTAACTTGAAACTTTAAAACAAATCCCAAATCAAATAATTAAATAAAACAAATAAAATAAATCTCTTGATATAAACAAACGAATGCTTTGGCTGTGCTTTTTCCATTTAAAATCAGAGGCAACCACTGCATTTTAATCATGATCCAAAAAAAAAAGCTAAATACATGTTATTTAGATTGCAATTAGATTGTATAATTTCGTACGCGCATTGTCTGAAACGTGGCTCTCTGTGCGCACTTTGAATGAGTGCGCGCAGCTCCGAATAGCCCGTCGGGCAGGGTGGTGAAACATTTTGGTAGCCCGACTGGAAAACACAATAGCCCCGGGACGTCGGGCTAGCGATTTTGCGAGCCCTGCCAAGGCCCGCCCATGAGGCCGTTTGACCGACATGTCAAACGACCAATCACAGTTCATTTCGTTTCAGCGTCATGTTTCGGGGCGTGGAAATGTCACCACAATAACAGACCGGTGTGTAAAACTCTCGGACGTATTTGAAAGATTCTGTGCCGCGAACTTGAAATATTTCACATACTTTTGAAAATCCAGCGTTTAGTTGATCCTGATAAGCGCTCGTCGTCACAGTTGTAAACACGACGGCTTTCTTCTTTCGTGAGGGGGTTTGGCGTCACGGCATATTTGTTTCTAGGCTGAACGTTATAGAATGCGACACTAGTCTCCCGGAAATCCTGTATTATTCAACCAATCAGATGATGACTTCGAAACTCCTGAAGTGTTTCCACTTTTGTGTGCCATATGCATCAGACGTTTAGCCAACGTTCCGTGGGCGTGGCGTCTGAGGCTGAGACTAGGTTGCTTATAATGTACATTTGGGAAAGCAACATATGCAAACCTTCTTCATAAACTTGTAATGAGAACCGCTTTCCAACAAATGAGCATGTCAGGAAAAGAGAAGCTTGATGGCTTAATGTTTGAAAAATAAAGAAACTTAGACAGCTGTATTGTAAAAAAATAAAATTAAATCTTGACACTTTTATTATAAAATGTTTTTTACACAGAATTATTTTTCAGTGATAAGTTACAACAGCAATCTTTCTTATTTTAATTAAGTAATAATAATAATACAAATTGTACTGTAATTTTTTATGATTATTTTTCTTAAACTTCTTACAGATTTATTTTTTAATATAGTGAAATATAACAATAATAATATTTAGGGGCCCAAGCACCAAAGGTACTGGAACTAGGGCTGTCGCAGTGAGGGAATTTCCCTTGCGGTAATTTTGAGCTATTGCGATATTGCTGTTATCGCGACAGCCCTAACTGGAACCTTATTGTATTTGTAAGGATTTTCTTCTTATTCTTTTTCTGCACTAAAACTGTGTAGCGTCTGGACCAATCAAACACACAATATATATTTCGTCTGTGTGGGCATCAGTCATAGAAATATTAAACTTGGCAGTATGTCAGAAATCCCACCTGCTACTTAGGCACTCAGACACATCTATTTGACACTTGGTGGCGCTATAATAAGCACTTTTGCATTAGGTTCGAAACTCTGTAATCATAAGGGCTAGAAGCAAAATCTGTGATCTTTTTATTATTATATATCCTAAAGATACTGAAAACATATTTCAGTAATCAAGTTGCTGTTTTGTCTGTTGTAATACAGAATAAAACTTCCATAGAGAGATTAATTATATTTGAAAACAGACATGACCATTGTACAACCATACTGTCTACATGAGCTGTTTGTACTTAGACACTGATTACTGCTGCTTGTGGTTATATTTGTTATTTTGTTTGATATTTTAACATTTAATATAATATAACATTTTTACTGTAAATTAATTAGATTTTTATGATTATTTTATAGTCATACTGATATATAATTACACCATTTTGGCCAAATCGTGCAGCTTTACAAACAAACACAGCAAACCAGGAGCTAAAAAAAAAAAAAAATCCCCAAAACGTACTGCCCTAAACAGGAGTGTGATTTATATCTGGAACATCATCTCTCACCTGCATGAGGTAATCAGCAATGTACTCTGGTTTAAGACATTTGACCCTCTGAGCTGCAGCTTCACTGACATCCACTCTGACGTTACTCGGTTTTAACCGACTAAAATCCACAAACAGGTGAGTGGTCTCTTTAAACAGCGAGGGAGAAGGGTGTGGCAACACCTATACAGGGGGAGAGAGGGTTAATACAAGAGAAACAGAGAGACAACACAGAAAGGAAGGAGGGGGAAACAGAAACCACTGCTTGTAAGGTTAGAGAAAAACAATGCTTTTATGGATTCAGTGTGGGATCAAAAGAGAACAGAAGACAAAAGAAAACAGACCTTTGCTCCCCCGGACTCTAGCAGCCGTCTGAATCCAGCCTCTCTGGCCTGGTCAATATTCAGCATCACAGTCCAGCCACCAAACGCTCCCTGCACATCAACAGCGTTAGGTGCTGCACCATGTACTTGCATGCGCATCCAAGCATAATATATTTATGCGTAACCTCCTTGTTTGAGCAGCCTTGTAGTGTTTTCCTCCATCGCATGGCTGCCAGTGCCAGTCTCTTCTGCTGAGAGTTGATGGATGGCAGAGCATCCAGGATAGAGCTGCTGCCCCACTCATACTGCTCCTCCTAATAGACATACAGGACATGAACATCTTCTTTCATCACTGAATGACCCCAATCACAAATGCAGACACACACCTCTATGAAGTGTCCTTCTGCACGGCAGGCCTCCAGATACGAGCGGTGAAGAATCCACTTGCCTGCTGCCATAGCGGCCAGATACTTCTCATTCCTCAGAGGATAACCAACAATAACATGAGTGCAGCTGGGGTCGAAACTCTGCTTCTCCAGCACAACACCACCTGCACATGTACACAAAAACGACGCATCAAATAGAAGAAATTCAATTAGGTATGGAATACAACAACTGAATATAATAAATACAGTAACATTTTACCATTTAATATATCTTAAAATATAATTTATTCCTCTGATGGCAAAACTGAATTTTTAGCAGCATTACTCCAGTCTTCAGTCTTTCACGATGCTTCAGAAATTACTGTAATATGATGATTTCATCCTCAAGAAACATTTCTTCTTATTATTATCAATGTTGAAAACAATGTTGAATTTAGGGCTGTCACTAACAATTATTTTGGTAATCATGTAATCGGTGGATTATTCTGACGATTAATCGAGTAATCGAATAATTATAATAATTTTCTTTGAGGTAATAAAAATAGACCTAAGCAAACAATAGCCTTTAAAATGACTTAAAATACATATATAATAGCAATGAGGCAATAATAATTGGTTCAAATAAAGTATCAGAAGCAAGTAATCATATGGTTTTATTGAACAAACCTGTGAAAATACATAATGTATTATAAACAATAGAACTAACGTACATTATGCATTATATTAAAGGCCTGCAGAGTGCTCCAATGGCCTGAAGATTGTTTTTACACTTTTCTGCATGATCTAATCCTTGTTTAATATTAACTAAACAACATTTAATTCAAATGTCCACTTAATCTTTAATATTTGGTCATTTCTTTAAGACAGAAATGCTACAGCCACTGCAATTTTTTGAATATATGGACATAAAAACGTGTAAACTCAGAGTGCGGGTTTGAGCTTTTATTTTGAAATCGCGATGAACAGTTAGCATGTTCAGAAAGATAATGATGTATTCTACTGTTTTGGTGTAGTTTATAAATGATTTACTTTATAAATCTGATGAAATGGAGCATGTTGCATTCCCAGATGAACTTTATAATAAACCTAAACTCACACAGGGTTTCCCATACATTGATTTATTTGTGGCGACCCGCCACAATATCAACACTGACCACCACAAATAGATTTTGCAAAAAGCTTTGACTTCGTTGAATAAACATGAGCACTGTTTCAAAACTAAAACGTGGCACGGGTGTTTTTATATAAATGTATCTTTTTCGAAGGGAACCGATTGTCTTCAGAAAAGTTTTGATGTCATTTTCATATAATCTTTCCTATAATGCCTGATAAAGTAGTGTTCATGAGCAGCTCTGCTATGTTTACAGCCGTTACTGGGGAAACCACTATTTCTGCCGCTCTTAAAGCGCCTCCTGCTGGCAGAGAATGAATTAGCATTTTCAATAAGCCCATCTGCTGTTTTATACAGTATTTACATTATATACATATACATTTCCCCCAGGGTAAGTGCCGCCACACTTAGGGCCCTATTTTAACGATCTAAGCACATGGTCTAAAGCGCACGACGCAGGTGCACTCAGGGCGTGTCCGAATCTACTTTTGCTAGTTTAACGACGGGAAAACGGTCGGCGTGCCCGGGCGCATGGTCTAAATGGGTTGTCCCTATTCTCTTAATGAGTAATGGGTGTTTTTTGGGCGTAACGTGCAACAAACCAATCAGAGTCTCATCTCCCATCCCCTTTAAAAGCCAGTTGCACTCGCGCCATGGTGGGTTCGCTATTTACATGGCGGAAT